TGAACTTTTTATTTCAATTTCCGTTTTGTCCATATACTGATATTATACTTATTTAATTTATAGTTTTTACCAACCTTGAAAGTTGGATAAAAGGATCAAGTTTCCATATTTTTAATTAATACAGAACGTTGTCAAAAAGTGCCTTTTGTCAACATTAAACATTTAGATTAACAATTTTTTAGATAAATTGAAAAAAAAATGAATTGAAATGTTTGCAGAAGTTAATTTCCGGTATCATTTCTCTGATTGGTAATCTTTTAAAAGCTAATGCTACAAAAGAGAGAGGGAGAGAGAGTTTGTGAGACAGTGAGCTTGTTTTGTGTGAAACAGTTTTCCTATAATCTAGTAAATGTAAGTATCAGAAAGTGAGCGAGGAAGGATTTTTATTGTGATATGTTGTCGTGGAAATGATTGAAGAGACTATGGATGTACATGATAATAGTAGTGTTGGATATCTTAGTACGTACATTAATCAAAGAGTGATTGAAACTTCGACAATGTCTCAACATGATGTGATTGATAATGTTACGGTTGTAGATGTCCCTTTAATAAAACAGCCTGAACATATGATAATAGTGTATTGTGTATCGTATGTTCTTGTGTTTGTAATCGGATTAATTGGTAACAGCTTCGTCATAGCTGTGATTTATAAAGATCCAAGCATGAGGAATGTAACTAATTATTTCATACTGAACATGTCAGTAGCAGATATTATCATTGCCGTGTTCTGTGTACCATTCACCCTGCTGGGCAATATTTACTCAGGTGAGATCAGCATCATTAAAAATGTATTATGTTGTTACAACATTTTTATTTCCAAACTAATTAGCACTAATTTATTTATGTTTTATTAATGTATGCCTGTATAGAAATCGAAAAATAATTTGATCTAAAACACGCCCTTCACATGTATATCAAATCACGCATAAGACTGGTCTAAAATTCCCAAATATAAGAACGAGCTCCTGAATCTGTCTCATTTACAACTATGCATTTTATTTAACAATTTAATATATAAAAAATTCATGCACTTTATCTGTATGTTATTTCATTAAATTTGAATAAACAGAGTAGTACATTTTTAAGCACTGTATATACGCGTTTTATTATTTATTCTGCATTCTTTAAACGAAAAAGAATTAATTGTAAACTATTGGACTTGAGATAAAAGATTGAATATAGATATGACATTTAACATAACTGAATGAACTTTTGGTTTAAATTATCAGTCTAAAATATCTATATGAAATAACTAAATGAATATTCTTCAATTTGCTATTATTTAACATTTATACTTCGTGTCGATTTTCTATTTTTTCTCTTTGATGAAACATGATGTAAAGTACCGTAGACTTTGCCTAATCTTAAAATAGGGCCGATCGTTTTGATATGATATGACATGATATTGATTTGATATGATATTGATTTGATATGATATGATATGATATTGATTTGATATGATATTGATTTGATATGATATTGATTTGATATGATATGATATTGATTTGATATTTATGATATTGATTTGATATGATACAGATATGATATGACATGATATTGAGTTGATATGATATTGATTTGATATCATATGCTCTTGATTTGATATGATATTGATTTGATATGATATGACATGATATTGATTTGATATGATATTGATTTGATATCATATGATATTGATTTGATATTGATATCATGATATTAATTTGATATGAAACAAACTCTCATATTCAATTAAAGAACTCAATACCGTATTTTGTATTTGTAAAGTATTAAGTATAAAATAAGTCGATTTCTTTTGTTTTCTCTGTTTTATTCACAAATATTATACATACATGTATATACAATGAGACAGCCAAACAAATTCCATTTTAGATATTCGTAAGTATTAGAATAACAACATACACTACAAAAAAGGAGAAAAAAGTGTCTCTTTCCCTTCTGTTTTTTTTTCTAGAATAATCTTTATTTTACCTAAAGAATAACGTTCGGACTGACAACCATACTAATAATCATAATAATTATTATTATTATCATCATCATCATCATCATCATCATCATCATCATCATCATAACGATGATGATAATAATAATAAGATAATAAGAGTGTACTTGTAAGTGATATAATTAAATGTAACGATTCGGAATATAGATATAGCTCACTTCTAATAACATAAATATTTATAAAATGAACATGGTTAAGAAATTCAGTTTTGTAAACGTAACAAAATACAGTCATACAAACCGGGGCGTCCGTGGCCGGGTTGAACGGTCGTTGACATCAAACCACTTGCCTCTCACAGGTGTAGATTCGAAATACTGCCAGAGACTCTTAATTCATTTGAAAAAGCTATTCAGTCAACTACGAAATGTCGGTGGTTCGAGTCTTAAGTAATGCAAGGAGGTGCACCTGAGGCTTCCACCACCATTAAAGCTTGAAGTTTGCAGCATGGCCTTAAACGTGTTGCTGCGAGGTAAAGTCCCACAAAAAGTTAAACAAAACGATTTGGAGCCGAATATTGATTTGAACATAAAAGCTTACAATAAGAAAAAAAAACGAAATAAGAGTCGAATAAGAAATGACATGTCTCATTCTGTATATACAGGAGACATTCATCTTAGGGCAATTTATGGAAATCAGTTCGAATAACGCCCAATTTGTCAAAGCGAAAGGTCCAATTTAATGTCACTAGCTGAAATATAACAAATAATTACGATGTATGAATATTTAGGCGTTTGTACCGTTTTCTTTAGAAATCGTTCACAGTATGAAAATGTTACATTGAATGAATGGAATAATTGTTATTTGTTTCGTAATATTTCAAATGTGCATAGCTTACACCAGATGCATCTATACAAAACATCTTGTAGTTAATAAAACTTTCATATTTGTACTTTTGACTTTCTTTATCCTATCCCCCTTTTTTGTTTGTTTAAAAACCCGAAAAGCTGTTTCTACTCAAATTTTTTTGTGGCGTTTTTTTGCATGAAAAATATCTTTGTTTTGCGTTTTTATTTCTTTGGTTAAATAGGGTTTTCGTCCAAAAGTTGGAAAATTTTTATCTTTGTTTGCTGGGAAATCTTAATGATTTTGGTTATCAAAAAACTTATCATTTTTGTCACCCGGTTTGTATGAAACTTTTTCAATCTCCGAAAAAGTTATTTTTTTTTCAAACTATAATTATTTTATCTCGGTTTATTTGACATTCGCCGACGTAATAGTCGACCTATAAAATACTGATCAATCTTAGATAAGATTATAAATGCAATAGATAACTCTATTAATGTTTGCTGATTATTTCAAATTACGATTTGTATGAAACATTTTATTCGCGTTGTTAACATCTTAAAAGACTGCTTATCATTTCCCCAGGTCGTTTGGAAAATAAAAGAAAATCATAATTATCTTTATAGTTCAGTTTTCTAGCTGCTATAATACATTAATGGTATGATTTATGTTATTTAATGTGAAAATTAAGTCTTTATTTTTCTTCTTTCATCATCAACAAAATAGTATTATGCCAAAAATATATATACAGTATATACATTTTAAAACAACAATATGACATTTGTTATTTACACCTGATTCGGTTCTGTTAGTTAAAAGAAATGTGTGTTTGGGTTTGTTTACAGCATAGTTATATCATTGATAAAATGTTGTCAATCAATAAAACCGTGATTTCTTTATTTCATCTGGAAGCCGGTTCTTGAATTATTTCCCGGATTCATTGAGTTGCGATGGCAAGGTCAGAAATCTAAATTAGCAATCTTTTCTTCGCATTATATACATTTGTTCATATCAGTACTGGCTGTACTCTATGGTCAGCCAATATTTCAAATTAAAAAAAAATATTTCTAAAGCAATGAGATAGAAAAATAAATTGTGAGATACACAAATGTGTCAGTGTGAACAGTGTGATTTATAGTTTTGACTTGTGTACGAACAATCTATTGCTATAATGATTCATACAACATCGCAACTATCAACTTTTAAATATTGCAAGATATTCTTATGCACATTTTTATTACAAATCTGAGGAGTAACAGACTGATATGAATAAAACATACTGATCAGTAATGGTTGTTATTATAATTTTCCTTGATGGTTTCATTATGGAAATATTACAGCTTGCTATGGTAATGCTTGCAAAAATTTTATTTACTTACGATTCTTGGCGGATAAACTTTTTTTGCTGACGTTTATTATCTTTTTAAAAACTTGGAAAAAATATTTTCCCTGTTTTTTACTTCCTTTATTGCACTCTTTTTTAAGGAAATGTTATTTCGGGAAAAGACAGGACCCTTTTTTTCATGTTTTTCTTTTCGATTACGCAGTGCAATTGTATTAACATCTTGTTTAATTAATCAAATGTTTGTGCTATGTATTGAGATTGTTTACGAAGAATACTATTAATTTTAAAGAAAAAACAGTATTCCAATATTATTACAAATAAACAAATTTTTTTTTAACTGACACATTTTAAAACCCCATAAAAAAAAAAACGGATCGGGAACAATTAAGCTTTAAATAAAAAAAAATATTTTTTTATTTTCTCAAGAAGTTGTATTCTTAAAATTTGTAAAATTAAAAGTTATGATGTTTTGAATATTTTTTGTTTAAAAACCAAAAAAGAAAAGTCTGTTTTAAAATTTTAGTGTATGTGCTTTGCTTTTGAAGTAAAATTTAAAAATTTGTTGTTCAGAAAATTGAAATATTTTGAAAAGAACGACGGGGGTTTATTTTTGCCCCCCAAAAAGACCCAGCCGCCCCACGCCATCACATACGCAGCGCGCGCACGCACACACACACAGCCCCCCAAAATTTGGTGTTTTTTCAAAGAAAACGGATTGTTATGTTACTTTATATCGTCGTTTCGTTGATATTTCAGAATTTAAATCACCTTTCATATATTTCGACCTACAAGAAACTGTTCAAGCATTGTTTAAAACGATAGAATCATTTTAAATATAATGCCTCAAATATATTTCCTCTATATTTTCAGGATGGCGATACGGTGCATTTCTCTGCAAAATCACGCCATATGTTCAAAGTGTAGCATTCAGTGCGCATCAGTAAATACTCTGGCAGCAATTTGCGTTTGACAGGTAAAGGTTCTCCTATAAAATCTTTTGAAAAAAACAAAATCATAAAATCAGTATCAAATGATCTTTAAACTAAAAAAAATAGCTTGCTGAAATATGTGAGCGAACTCCTGTAGAGAATTCGTTGATATATAAATATTAATCTTTATTATAACTTATATAAAAAATATCATCTTCATTACTTTTTTATTCCAATTTTCTTTTCTGCTGTTTGCTGTGTGAAGCAAAATAACATATAACTAATTTAATATATATTTCTTAACAATATTGCAATAAGTATGTTTAACTTTTAATTTGATGTTCAATTTTTAAGAAATATAATTCAAGATTTCACTTCATTTACAAAAAACTTATTTATAAAATAATTCATAGAAAAAACGCTTTGTACAGATATGTCAAATATAAAGAAATGATATATTCAGATACTTGGCAATTTGCTACACACGACATTCCAAAATTTCAACATGTGCTTCGCGGACGACAATAGCTTCTATTTGGATATTTGCCGGCTCAATAATGATCCCGCTCTTAGTTTTCTATCAGAAGTACATGCACCCAAAATTCCACGAAGTACCGATGTGTCACCAATTATGGCCAAATTTCGATCTTCAAAGAGGATATTTTCTCGTAGCCTTGTTTTGTGTTTGTTACTTGTTACCTCTAATTATGATTCTTCTATGTTATATTCTAATTGCCGTAAAGATCTGGAAAAGAAACGCGCCTGGCGTTCAAACAAATGGAAGATTAATTATCTACAAATCTAAAGTGAAGGTTTTAAAAATGTTGGCAGTAATTGTGATTCTGTTTGCTTTCTCGTGGCTTCCTTTGTACGCAATATACCTAAAGTTTTACTTTCAATCCGAGGATTTATCAGAGGGTGACCAAAAAACTTTATTTGAAATTGTCCTACCGTTCGCGCAATGGTTAGGCGCGTCGAACTGTGGCATGAATCCAATTATTTATTGTTTCTTCAGCAAAAAGTACAGGAGAGGTTTTAAAAAACTGCTATATTGCAGATTCCAAACGCTGGCATTCAGAAGACAGAGCAGAACTACACGATCATTGAGTACAAGATACATAAATGTAGAAAATTCCAGCGGAAATGTAAATGACACAAAAAACAAAAAACTGCCAAAGTAAAGAAAACAAAGTGTCAAGTAATAAGTACATGGTGGTAGCTTTTAACAACGGAAGAATGACAGTGTCATTCCGGAAGGAAAATGCCTCTGACGATTCAAGCTTCTAGAGGATGTTACTCTGGACACGACCTGATTTATATTCTCCCTCACATTTATTTGAAACATTGCAATCGTTCACAAAAAAAAAAGAAAACAACAAAAAACACAAAATATTATCTGAAGATTTTATGAGGGTTATATTGATTAACATGGTTCATATTTAAAAAGATCAAAACATACATGTATTTTAAAAAGAATATATATTTTTTGAAATGTACATACATTGTAAATTAAATAAAAAAAGTAAATTTAACGTTTGAGAAACCTGTTGTGAAGTATTCACATTAATTGTACATGTTTGAGATGACTACAAGACATAAAGACGAATTTCTGAACAAACTATGAGTGTTGTCATTGAATTCGTAAGTGTTAATATGACATGTACATGTATAGTGGTAATGAAAAAAAAAACAGATATCAAATATTGTCTCGTAAACGTATTTAAAAATATGGGCAACGGAATATTTTAGATTATTTTAATGTTTGTTGAATGTATATATTTTTCATGGTGCAGGACATCGTGTAAAATGAGGTTATAACTAAACATGTGTTTTTCTTGCTGAAATGTCAATTTGCCATTAAGAATTGTGAATAAAGTGAATTAAATCATAAACAAGTTACAATCATTGCAACCTAAAGTTTGATTTTATATAATCGTTGAACGATATGTACAGGATGATACAGGAAGACATTGAGATCAGTATCCTTATTAACTCTAAGCATTAGAGCACCAATAGGAAGTCACTTCTTATGTCCTTTCAAATTTTGATTCCATGGCTAAAAATAGCTTTCTCGGGAAATCCTAATCACAATAAAGGCGAAACAAATACGGTGCCAATCAGATCTACATGCAAGAAATAACTTAAGTCAGATTGACATTTAGATTCGACATAAAACAGATTAGAAGAATCGCTAATGTGACGGTTGAAATACCACAAAAATAAATAAATAAAAGATTCTCAGTTTAAATAAAATGAGAAAGTATTTATACCAATTACACAGTAAAATCTGATAACGGACGGCTTAAAAGTCATGTGTTTATACTGATTATACTTGGCAGAATTAAAATGGATCAAGAACTTACAAACGCCTTTCCCACTTGGCCTAAATGACAATATTTTTCAACAAGGTAACATCTCTAAAGATCCAAACATTGATATATTTTCTATTCTGAATATTCGTAAACGTAAATCCCGATCTCACGGAGTACGTAGAAATGGCAACATCAAACGTAAATCTAAAATTACCCTGTCTGTCACCGACTTAAATATTATCTTAAAGAACTCTGGTAAACATGCAATGTTATCACGTCTTACTTCCCTTTCATTATCATCTCTGAAAATCTTAGACGCGGAAGCAGATAATATAGTTATTCAAACAGATCCTTTATATACAGCAGCTTATCTTATTCAAAGTTATACTCAGCACGTCTTAAGACCTCATATCGACAACACTTCTGACCACAACAGGCATTTCCTAAAAGTAACCTTTCTTAATAAAGGTATCGATTTCATCGATTTACCAAGTATTTTTCGTGATAAACGTGTCACTAATTCAGTTCCTTTATACTTCAAAAACACCGAGATACCAATTATTTGCTATAAATATAAGAAACCTGTTAGAAATATCATATTTAATTACAACAAAGTGGTTTCTGACTTAGATATTCAGTCTAATACTCAAACAACTTGAGACTGCAATACTTCTAAATTCTGTAATTCAGATTTTGGCCATATAATCACTGGTAATTTTGATATAATTGCAGACAAAAGAACTCGTAACTTATTCTTGAAAGGACCTAAATACAGAATTCCTTCTGAAATTGATTTTAATGCTTGTCGTGGTCAGATTGCTGAATCTATAGAGGATTTTTCGGTCAAATGGTGTCGCCGTGAAAATGCGGATAGTAATGCTCTAGTTACATGGAAACGTAACATCTTTAAAATTATTGATTCACGTATTAATTTTTATCGTGGAAATGAACATCTTTTGCCACCTAAAACAAGACTTACTTTAAGACATCTGAAGAAAGATATTCTAGCTTTTCATTCAAAATTTGTTTTGGTGCCAGCGGACAAGGCGGCTAATAATATTATAATTGTATGACGAATCCATTACATTAACGTTTTGCATAAGGAACTTAATAGTACTAATGCGTATTCTAAAACCTCTGCCTCCGAAAAGGACATTGTAAACAGTCATATTACTAATATTTCAAATCTTAAAGTACAAATTAATGAAAAAGAACTTAAACTTCCTATTATGTATTGGATTCCTAAATTACATAAAAAACCTTACAAAGCTAGATTCATTGCCAATTCTACATCTTGCACTACAAGTAAACTTTCTATTTTATTGACGTCTTGTTTGACTGCCATTAAAACACATGTAATTAGATATTGTGATAAAGTCTATGAAAACACAGGCAAACATCTCTTTTGGTCAATTAAAAATTCTAGTGAAATCTTGGATGAATTCAAAATTAAGAACTTTCAAGCTTCAACTGTCAGTACATACGATTTTTCTACACTTTATACAACTTTGCCACATAAATTAATCAATGATAAACTAATTTCCCTAATTCAGAAAACTTTTGCACGGGAAAAAGTTACCTTTCTAGCATGTAATTCTAACAAAGCTTTTTTTACTAACGGTATTGTAAAACATTATACTATGTGGACCTGTGACGAAGTTTGTAGAGCACTCTCTTTTCTTTTAGACAACATTTATGTCAGGTTTGGTAATACCCTATTTAAACAGATCATAGGAATTCCTATGGGTACTTATTGTGCACCCCTGGTCGCCGATTTGTTTTTGTACTGCTATGAAAGAGACTTTATGTTGAGTCTCTCTGAAGATAAACAACAAGATGTTATAATAGCATTTGAAAATACTTCCAGATACCTTGATGAAATTTTTATTGTGATTATTATTATTTTGATCAAATGGTGTCTGCTATTTATCCCCATGAACTAAAACTTAATGAAACGAACTCTTGCAATTATGGTACATCATTTTTGGATCTTCATATTACTGTCAGCAACAATTCTATTCACACGAAAATCTAGGATGAAAGAGATGACTTTGATTTTTGTATAGTTAATAATCCATATTAAGATGGAGACGTATCCCATGCAACATCTTACGGGGTATATGTTTCTCCCTTGATTAGATTCGCTAGAGCTTGTATCAACGTAAAGGATTTCAAAGGGCGGAATATTCTTATTTCTAGCAAGCTTCTAAAACAGGGCTACCGCTATCATAAATTACGGAAATATTTTTACTAAATTTTTACAATCGTAACTTTTGATTTAATTTCCAAATTCAATAGTGATTTAAAAACTCTTCTGCGACAAGGGATTAGCCAGCCTGGTTTTTATGGCGATGTGATTTACAAACTTCATAAGATTTTGGGTCATGGTAATTTTTCTGCTGTTTTTACTAAAATCATTAAACGTTTTATTAAAAAGAGGTTATGACCCTACTATTTTAAGACATACTGCATGTTTAGTGTTCAACCCTTTTACAGTTGGACACTACGCTTTCCTCTTTTGATTGCATCTGACGGACCAAGTGGGAGACTCTATGATGGATAGTTCGTAAAGCCCTTTGGGACTGAATTGTCTTAATGTTCGTCTTCTGCCTTGCTTCGTCGGGCCCTTGTAGGTGATTTTCTTGTTGCTCTGTCTTCCTTTAGGACATTGAGTACTTTTGTTATGGTCATTGGGTTTACTTTTATATGTTTCTACATGA